CGGCTATACGGATTTGTTTACAGAAGCGAGAGGTACTGCATTCGAAAGAGAAGGCTTCACGCTAAATAGCTGTCGGTCGCTGGCGTTTGGCGCATGCTACTTCTTCTGTAGCAGCGGTAGTCTCGTTATTTAATAGCCACACCTATAACATAAAAGATAATAAAAATATAAAACTAAACGTACCAAATTTCTTATGAAACAGAAATATCGCAGTAAATACATATTTTGTAATTCAAATATTAAGATTGACAATATTTTGTACTTCAAATATTTTAATGATGTATTTTGCCCAATCTTGAATCCAGTGCAACGACAATTAAGAACATATAATATAGACCCCCTATGGCATAAAGTTGCAGTAACACTGCTGCAACATTGCAACAACATTACACGTTACAGCAATATTGCAGAAATTTTGCAGCGATATCGCTGCAAATTCTGTGCTGTATGGGACTTCAATATTCATAGATTGTTTACACAGATAACACGTAAAACATATTTTATTTATATTATTATGAACACGTAGATGTACATTATCATATTTCACGCTGCATAACTCTGATTATATAAATGTTACCACCGACATAAATTATTGTTTTATACAATGGTACACATGTGTTGCATAACAACATTATACTCAGAAATTTTTCGTTCGTTAATTTCCATCGATATTTCACACAAATTTAATTGTATAGTAATAAAATTCACATTCAAAAATTCTTAAAAAGAGGATAAATTAATATATTTTATAAAAAAATTTTTAGTTTTCTTTAATACAAAACAGTTTACATTTATTTTTAATTGCATGCCTTACTCTAACAAGACGCATTATAACGATATATGTATATCAACGCATGGATAAAACCAGCAAGCTTATTGACACGCGACACGATTAAACGGCCATTTAACTATAATCTATTTGGCCTTATTTTTTAAATGTACTTTTAAACTGTATATAATCTCAAAAAACTGCTCGGTATGACAAATATTTTTTCAACTTATATTTTTTCAAAAACTTTGCATTTTGACTTTGGCTATGGTATTTTGATTTGCGAATTTCGGGAAAATCTGTATATAACACACTTAAATTTTTATGCCAAGTATAAATTACGTCATCAAATTTTCCATCTTGTTTTCTTTTCAGCATTTGCTTGATTGAACATCCGTATATATCGGTCAGGGGCTCATATTTTATGCAAAGAAACGGCCTGTATAACAAATGACTTGTTACAAGTGATAAATTTATCTGCACTTTTATTATCTTGCTTTCATTTACATATACAGATGCTTTTATATTTACGAATTTGTGCTTGTGACTTCTTCAATATATTTAATAGATCATTAATTATTATATCGAATACTTTTCATAATTCTCTCTAATCAAATCTAACTTTCAGATTTTATGGATTGTTCTTGATAATACCAAATACGTTTTATAAACAATAATAAGATTGAAAGACCGCTAATGTTAAACATAATAATTTTAAATTAAGAAGCGCCATAACGGTCAGAACGTTAAGATGTTGAACTATTGTAAATTCATTTAAATGAATTAATTTCAGAAATGATAATTGCGTGCCGATATGGTTGTCGGACTTTCAACGCAATCAAATCTGAAAATATTAATAATCCCCCCAAATTCCCCAACTTAAAAACTGTAATAAAACTTACGTTGGGGAATTTGGGGGGATTATTAATATTTTCAGATTTGATTGCGTTGAAAGTCCGACAACCATATCGGCACGCAATTATCATTTTGGAAATTAATTCATTTAAATGAATTTACAATAGTTCAACATCTTAACGTTCTGATGCTTTATAAAATTTCCAATTGCAGTAAATCAAGAAATATACATATATTAAATGTTCTTTAATACATTTAACATATTCATTAATTTGTGTAAGCCTAATGCGCCTAATTTTTATGTGCGCCTAATGTCTTAAATAATTCAATAATATTTTTTTATTAATGAATTTACTTACGTTTATTACGAGTATTAGAAATACTCCTGATGACACAAAACCATTTTTATCATGAAAAAGATTTAGCAATCTAATAAAGCGAGTAATAAAGTATACTAAAAATATGTATTTTGTACAAAAATGTTTACATAATATTTAAAAAGATCTGTTCTCACCTCGTGATATAACATATTTCATCGTAAAAGTTTGCACAATATATCTTCACCGTAACAAATTATAATCAATATCCGCACTTTCTCTGTTAAAGATTGTTATCGTAAGTAATATATCGATCGTTGGAATATTTCATTTTCACACACCATTAAATGACACAACAATAATTTCGCAAATTACTGTCAAAAAAAGGAAAAAAAATTATTCGAAGTAATTTATGAATATATCAACATTATCTATCATTCTGATATTTATCTTTCGTGGAAAAACTCCACGGGTTTCGACCAAACCGTGAAGGTAGGAGCGCTCATATAAGAAGTAAGTCTGTGCGTTCCAATTTTATTCGTTCTTTTCAGTCTACCCTGAAAGAGCCATTCCTTTCTAATCGAGTACTACGACACTATACGTACGTCATGAGAAGAGCAATTTGTAAATATGTGTCCCTGATGTGCATTCTCGTCGCCCTCGTTCACGGCAGGTAAGTGAAAGGACATTGACAAACAGACGAGATGTCATGAACCTACGTTAATAAACGGAAGTCGTAATATTAATGCCTATATCAAGTAATATTCCCTTCTGTCGAGACAATGAGAAAGTTAGCCGAAACATGTATACTAATTTTTAATTATAATATGAGAGATACAATTTAACATTGACATTGAAATTTATCGCGCACATAGTACAGCGCTAATTCCTAAAAGCTACATTTATTATAATTATATTTTATAAAATATATTATATAATCCATCCATCCATCCATCTTCCTGGAAATGAATACAATTAAAAAGAAAAACTGGTTAAACTTTAATCAAAAAGAATCATTAGGTTGAACCATTCAATATTTTAAATTTTCAATCAATAGTAATAATTATTATTGAAAAATACATTCTTATTGAATTACAAATATTTTTTTTCAAAAATTGACCGATATATTTATTTCACAAAAAATTTTGTATTAAATGAATTTTTTGTGGAAACTTTCTGCATGAATGCAGTAATGTACATATAAATTCGTATGAGAGAGAGTATTAAGAGTTTTTATTATTATCTGATAGGAATAGAAATAATTGAGTATTTCCTCTTCTACCTCTCTGTCCACATAAGCGTTGCTACTTATATCTGATTCTATGTTTAGGAAAATTTGTCGGCTATTATCTAATTAGCTTTAGAGATTGGCTAATTAATGTCCATTTTTTTCAATGGAAATTAACTTTAATCTCGGTTTATCTTACTTTTTATTTTTTCTAATTCTTAGAATTTATCTTAAAAAAAATAACTAATCTACATTAGAAATAGACGTAAATCTTTTGTGTTCAGCTTTTAGATATATAGGCTCTTTTATATTTATTTTAGAGATGTCTACAGTACGCGCAAAAAAAATGCGACTCTCACAACTAACACTTCAGTTGTCAGTTTAGTTAAATAAAGTGAGTGGACGAGGGCAAATTTGATTATAACACAAATATTTTGTCCTACCAAATATTTATTCGATACGATTTCCTTTAATTGCAATCACTGCGTTATTATGTCACACTCAGCAAACATAATAGTGATTAAAAGAGAGTCGCATTTTTTGTTATCGTATCTCTAAATTCCGGATATTTGTGACATTCACACTGAATTGCTGGTTATTTTTAATCAATGTTATTCATAATCGTAAACAAGATTTTATTTGATCTCTTACATGAAATAATTCATTTTTTAATCACAGCATTAAATAAACATCATTTCTCGCATAAAGTGAAGGAAAACAAATGTTGCATAATCTTGAATGTGATAGATACAAGTTTTATACAACATTTCCATCTTATAATCTTCTCACAATATACATTTCTATCTTTGGAACATATGCTGGCTTGTAATTAAACTTGTGACAACATTAGCGCTTGTGACAATATTAGCGCATCAACGCGCGATAATTGTAGAATATCTCGATTTGTTTACAGCGCATTGCGATATCATAATAAATAATATCATTCCGTGAATACACGACATATTGTCCGTTTAAAATTTCAATGTTCGTCCAACGTTTCTACATAAAAATTATGACATATGTGTATCCACAATCTACAATTGCTATTTTTAAATGAATGTTTAAGGATGAAATTGATTTATAATCTGATCGGTGATTAACTTATCAAGCCTGCGGTATCTTGTTTATGTGAAAAATTAAACTTTAACGAGAATTATTGAATTCTTATTATCTAAACGTAGAAAAAAAATTAGAAATAACAATTATAATATAATTAGAAATCATTAATTAGAACTCACGTTTGACGAAAGGTTCAATGAATAGGATTTAAGATATATAATATTGCTGAAGAGGACTCCAAAGAGAACCGAACGTTCAAACTAAAGAAGATTCCACACAATGAAAATTAATTAATGGTATTATAATTTAATCGTTGGCACCTTTATAGGCCTCTTATTAACCTTGTATGGATTGTTTATTTTTATTTTTAAGATTGTGAGTCTGTAAAATGTCAGATTTATAATTAGAAATTTTATTATGAGTTTTATTTTATTCTACCAATCAGTTTGAATACAAGTCATCACTACATCAAAATGACTTCAAAATGATCACGAAATGTCACTTTTCAAACATTTACAATTCATTTAGACATTATTTTGATATTACTTGTTGTTCTGCTTGGAAACTGCTGATCAAACAAATTAGAATAGAGGCCTTGTAATGCAACGAGTGTTATCTGGAGATACGATAGTGTTCTTGATAATCCCACGCGTGTTGCATAACGATAACTCGTTGGCTGGAACCAAACAAACAATTTTATCAGTGTAGCTCGCATTAATTAAATAGCCGTCGCCGTATTTTGTCGCTCAGTACCGTCGTGACGATTGCCGGTTGTTTAAAGCAATCGATGTAATTAGCCGTTCCCGCTCAAGTTTAACCATCCGCTTCACTTCAGCTCGTTCCCCTTTGATCACTTGTCGTGGTCTGATCGCTTCAGTTGCACTCGGTTCATCTGCGACGATCCATCGCATCGTCGACAATTCAACTTTCAGCTGTTCAGTTGTGCTCAGTTCGTAACTGGTCTGAACTGATCTCGAACGTATATTTATTCTTCAGACTCCAAGCAATGACGACGTAAATATCGGCCTGTTATGTTTGTTTTGATAGATCATGACAAATCCATCTCCTCTGCTCCTTCTATACCCAGTGTTGCTAGTTGCTAGTGGTGCGTTCGAGGTGACGCTAATTAGAATAGTTCGTAAATCGTTCTCTTCGTAAATCATTCTTGTGATATCGACTCGGGTATCGATCAAGTGCGCGAGTAAATCAGTGAGTGTAAAGCCGCGTATACATCTAGCGAACGAACACCGAATGCGAATGTTCGGACGTTTGTGTTTGTGTTTGTGAACAGTTTATTCTTTTTCTTGATTGTACCGAATACTAGCATTCGATTAAATTCGATGTTCGTTGCACATAGTAATTAAACGTACTGCGACTTTTATGTAACAAATAATAACATAAACTTTTGCGTTTGCTGTTCGTTCGGTGTTCGTTCGCTAGGTGTATACTAGGTGTATACATGAGCTGCGTTTCGTTATTCACTGTCAGTACTGACAATATGACGTCATAAAGTAGTACTGCAGAAGCGTTTTGAAATTACTAATAGTACTTCTTTGACGTTACAACATTGCATAATGAAATGGATTTAGTAGTACTTGGTAGGACTGTGTAGAAATAATTTTTTAAATTTTGATAAAATTTGGAATTATTAATTTTAAAAAACAAATTTTTTCCTGATTTCCCATTTCGTTGAATTTCGCCATCTTTTTACTGCGATTACCTGATCTCGCCAGTCGCAGTAATAGAAACAGGAAGTGACGCAAAAATTTATGACGTCATATAAACGCAAAAGTATATTGGAAGTTTATTGCGATATATTTCGGAATGGCATGTGCAATGCTGCCCAAGAAGACTAGAACTAAGGAGGATCAACTCGCGTGGTGGGGGTCAAAAAACGTCCGCGGCTATTCACACGATGTGCAGCGGCACTGCGCATTGTGTGAAAGTTCGATATAAGAGTGACAAAGTGACGATTATAGAACGACAGAGCGACGACTATATAGAGCGACAGAGAGGCCTAATGAAGCGCAAGAGTGGGGGAAGTTATCCGTCGCCACTTTTTGCCTCACCCCCACTACCGCTATTGGCACGAGTTGATCCTCCTTAGTTCTAGTCTTCTTGATGCTGCCAGTACTGACAGTGAATAATGAAACGCAGCCATGGTTTTAGATGTGTCGCTTTTTTGGCGCTTGCGCATTG